AGCGAGGCAAAGATGACAATGTTCTGGTGGTCCTAGTGGGTGCATGGTAAAAGAGTCATAATGTCAAGATTGTGATGCAAGAGGCAAGTTAGGAGATTGACAAATAAAAATGCCTGTGAAGTTAATCTCATTAGGCTTCTGGATGTCTTTTCTTCATTTATAAATATCAGAGCTTCAAATAGTTCCATTTGTCCTTTGCCCCTTCTTTTAACCTTCATTAACAAGAAGATACCTTCAAGTTTTTCTTAGTCTATACTTTCATGTCTTTTCATCTCAACTCAACTTCCTTGGTTTCTACCAAACACATGATTATTATTAACTCTTCTCCTTGCTGTATCTGAAGCATAAGAATGAAACTGGATCTGCTAAAAGACAGAACATTCAACAGAGCAAGTATATGAATTTCATGTTGATGAATTAAATGAATGATATTCCGATGTTGGGATTAAGCATAAACTGTAGACATATAATTCAAAGAAGAAAAATGGTCTACAACAGATCAAAATTTAAGCAAGCAGTTTTGCAATGTATAAAAAAAATAAATCTCAATGTAACAAGAGTAGAGTTTTTACATTATGATGAGAATTGAGAGTAACCTTGCCTCTAAGTCCCAAAATAGTTTATTTAAGATGCATCATATTGCCATGTGTCGTTAAAGAATTTAACAAACCAAATTAAGGATGTCAATCGCTAGAATGAATTGCAACTTGCAAGTAATCTTTAAGTGATTAATTTGGATCTTGTGCTTGACTGCACCACTGCAGGGTGTTAATTTCAGGCAGAGCCATAAAAATTGAGGGTTTAAAAGATTATTAGACTCTTTCCAATTATGATCTACTATATCATTTTTGTTTAAATCTGCAACTTGATTTTTTAAAATTTTCCAATAGATGTCAAATTTAGGTTCTGAAATTGGAGTGTTCCTTGTTCAGTGGAAATCAGAATATTCAATGAGTGACTCCTTTGTTGCTTTGTAGGTTGCATTAACCTAATGCTTCGAGGCTGAAAATTAAGTGAATTTGGAAGAGTAAATCACTAGCAAATAAAATGTAGTTCCTGTTTCTTCAGCTATTTAATAACTGACTTTTTTTGGTTTCCTTCACAGAAAGGAGCTTATAAGAGCCATTGATGTGCAGCTTATCACTCTTAAGCAAGATCTGGCCACAGCTTGTAGTCATGCATGCTCTTCTGGATTTTCTGTTGAAAATGTCTTGGACCTTCTATTCTTTTCTGAATATTTTGGTGCGAATCGTCTCAAGTAAGTTCTGGAACTTCAAATCCTATATTTCATGTTTTTCCAGCTAAATGAAATAAAATCTTTGATTTGACATATTTGGCCGTCGAGACAAAAATCAGTTGTAGTTTGTCTCTTCATGCATTAATATATCACTACTCTAATTCACTGCCAATTTAGCTCTTCTGGGCCTTACTGGCTTGAGCAAAAGGCCTCCACACTGGTTTTTTGCTGTGAATTTTTGTTTATATTTCAAAAATTCACACATCTATGTTATAGCACTTTGTATGTGACACTGAATTTATTAAGGTTGTAGGGGTTTCTTGTACCACTGTAACAACGAGCAAATGTGCTGGGTGTTTGCCCTTTCTTTTGTCATATATAAGACTTAACTGGCAAAAGTTGGACAATCATGATGATCTGTATAATGAAGTTGCATACCATAATGCTGACAATTTATTTCATTAATTTTTAAATTATTTTATATATCTTAAAATTATAAGGGTCTCTTTTATAAGTTCAGGTTCTTGATGTTGGATAAGTTCTGAAATAAATCTTCCTTTTTGTTTGCGTTTGGTTTATCAAATTACCCTGTTTGTCATATAAAGTTTATCTAAACTGACAGTGGTGATAATATTCATTATACAACTTGCATGACATTGGCAACAGCGAGGCATGCAACAATTTCATTTCGCTTTGTCAAAGGTGCCCTGAACTTATTGATCACCACCAGCAGTCACAATCTCTGCCTCCACATTTGAAAAATCTTGACAACGGGAATGTTAGATCCTCCTCAAGCTCAGACATGTCAATAGATGAACCAGTAATAGAGCACATTGGTGCTGGTATACCACCTGATGGTGGTGGTCTTCAGGTTGACATGCCTAGTATTAGTCAACCGTCACTGCTGAATACAACAAAGTTATCAGGCACATCTCAGCAGGTCAAGCTCAATGGGCAGCACTTAAAAGGGGCAGTATTGGAGAATATTCCTTCATCAGCCAATTTTCCAGCTCAGCAAGACGGAGGGAATTTTAGGCAACTTAGTGTGAAGGACCGGATCAACCTCTTTGAAAGCAAACAGAAAGAACAATCAGCAAGTTCTAGAAATATCAGCACAGAAGGTGTTGTTAAAAGGGTAGTATCAGGTAAAGGGGAGCATAGGAGGCTCTCTTCTGATGTTTCAGAGAAGTCAGTATTGAGAAGGTGGAGTAGTGCCAGTGACATGAGCATTGACCTTAGCAGCAGCAACTGTAAAAGTTGTAATGACCAGACAGAAAGTGGGAGTACTGCTGGAACTCCTACATCTGTCAATTTGCAGCTTCAGTCAAGAAATAAAACTGAAGAGACTGATGCTACTGGTTTTACCATGACATCACAATGCTGGTTGGATCTTAAAGAAAGCACCACAGGAACTTCTGCTTCTTCTTTGTCATTGTCACAGTCACAGTACAAAGGTTTTCAAGGTGATAGAGATTGTACTGAGGATGAAAGCATCAAGTCCTCGACAACTAAGAACAGACCAGTCTTGGAGAAGGGGCAGGGCACATGTGACCTGAGTACTTCTGCCAGCAGGATGGAGTACTGTGGATTGGGTGATCAAGATGCCTTTTGGGCCAATGCAAAAGGTTTTTCAGCTGGAAATAGTGCTAGCTCAAAAGATTTTGCAGCATATCACATCCAATCAAAAGCAGAGGATCATTTGCAAATTGAAGACCGGGCAACTTTGCCAGACATATCAAAAGCTTCATCAGCTGTGACTGAGCAGGTTAGATGGAAATATCGAGAAGGACTGCAATCCCAAACTAGGGAGGCTCCTTATGGAGCAGATGCTGTTGGGTTAAAGGATCAAACAAAGGTAGCTAACCAATTACAAACATTTGGGAGAACAGTAGATCCTGTCGGGAATACAAAAGGTTGGTCACATTCCCAGGTTCAGTTTGAAGATTTATCAGTTTTGTCTTCAGAGGTTAATCTTTTGGCTTCGCAATCTCAGGGAAAAACATTTCCTGTTGACATAGAGGAAGCAGGTGGAAGAAATGCAGCCGCCTCTTCTGCAACTTCTGGCTCTTCTCTACTTGTAACAAATGATGGTATCAATCACCAGGGAATACACTGGCATCAATCATCTGCTTATGAGAGAGGTGCAGATGAAATAGCTGATACTGAAATAAACCACATGTCTGCTTTTCCTGTAAGGAAGACCAAGGAAAAGATGGATATAGTTGAACCACCTTCTGCACATTTGATGGAGCAGAATCAGGTGGTGAGGTCATCAAAAGGAATTCAAGCGTTAAATGATGAATTACGTACCAAGGCTAATGACTTGGAAAAACTTTTCACTGAACATAAGCTTAGAACTGTCACTGAGCAAACAGCTTCCTCTCGAAGAAGCAGACCTCTGGATGTCCAGGAGGATCGTGTTCCCGTGGTTGTTGAGAAAAGAAATGCAGTGACACTTTTTGATCAGTTGCCTGAGAACCCTCTGAGGGAGACTTCTAAGTATGATGTAGACTTTGATGCCAATTTCCTGTTGAAAATGGTAGGCAACGTGGAATATGGTAATAATACAAATCAAAAGCTTAGTACACAAAGTTCATCAGATGATTTCAGAGGAAAATTGTACTATAAATACATGCAAAAACGGGATGCAAAACTAAGGGAAGAGTGGGGAACAAAAAGTGCTCTGAAGGAAGCAAAAATGAAGGCAATGCGTGACAGCCTAGAATGTAGTCAAGCTGTGATGAATTCCAGATATTCAGGATCTGCTGATAGACAGAGTACAAGCTACACTAGTCGCCGTGCAGAAAAGCTGAGATTTTTTAGCAATTGTTTAAGAAGTAAAAACCAGGTATGGTTTTCTGGTAATGGTCCTTTATTGTCATGTTTATGCACTATCTAGAGTTGCCACCCTATCACTACATATTAATCTTCAAGAATTTTCATAATGACATTTTTAGATCTTGATGGATATTGTTGGTCTGACATTGCAACTCCATAATAATGCTCATTGAGCCTGAAAATTGAAACTGTTCATTTTTCCTCCCTTTTATTTTCCTACTTGAGTTCATGTGGTTATATATGTAAAAATATACCAAAATATTTACTGCAGATATCTTCTTTAGACAGGAGGGAACTAATATGAATTGATCAAGGAGATAGAGGGAAGAAGAAATGGCATCATAACTTTGTATGAATCTACTTATTTATAAATTATAATTAAATTATTTAGCTTCCCTTTTCCATGATTGACACTACTAATGTATGTCTTCTAATTTGTTATTTCTGTTAGGTAGCTGAAGATCACTCATGACATTTTTTGGAATGTGGGTGTGATTATCTCTTTATTAAGTAGCAAGAAATTTTTTATTTCTTTTGTTTTTCCTTGTGCATATTTCTGTTGATGATCATCTGTCTGTTGTCCTTACTGCAAACATATTGTTCAGGTAGTGACCAGTTAATTTTCCTACTATAGATTTTGGCTAAATGAAAAATCTTATTTTCTGGTATCAGGCAATTGAGTCTGTTGAGGAAATGAAAGATCCGGAGGAACCATGTGAACAATTTGGTCATGGTCAAAATACATCCCACAATGATCCCTTTGATGATAATTCTTCTAAAGATACTAACTCTGTAAAGCTTCCATCTAAGAAAACTTTGTCTTCTTCCACCCTGCAGACCATAGAAACTTCAGTGCCAAAGCTTTCTGTAAAATCTACCAAATCAGTTTCCGTAAAACACAGAAGTCAAACTGAAAATCCTCTTGCTGAAATGCTCCCTGACTTCTCTGACTTCAGAAAGGAAAATGCAAAACCATCTGCAGCAAATAACAGGGTAAATTCACGAGAGAAAACAAAGATACTTTCTCGAAGCAAGAACATAATTGCGGAGACTAAACTTGTCAAGGAAGAGAAGCCACATAGGTCTCAGTCCATGAGAAAAAGTACCGCTGGTCCTGGTGAATTCAAGAGCCTTTCTCCTCTCAATTCTGGTAGCACTGATTTCACACCCTTAGATTTTTCCAAGGGACAAATGGATGCCAATTTTATGAACAAAGTGCAGAAGAGTGGGGAGTTCAGAGCAATCCTCAGGAAAGAGAAAGGTACAGTTCCTGGTTTAGGAGCCAATATATATAAACCTAAAGCTTCTAAGGTCTCTGAGGTGAATAAGAATGGAGAGGATTCTAAGGATATATTTCATAGAGAGGACTCACCTGGCCTAGTTAAAGATGTAATGGAGGTGGAAAAATCGTCTGCCGAAGGAAATGCTGAGGCTGCAGATTTTCCTGTTGACTCAGATAGCGAAAATCCAAGATACATTGAAGAATATGAAGGCAATGATGATTTTGGATCAAAAAATGATGCTAAAAAATCTCTATTCCAAGAAGCTTTCGACACAGTTCCTGTTTCTCCTGAGTTTAGTATTTCTTCAGAAAATGTACAAGAGTCATCAGGTCCTCAGTCATGGAACCCATGCCTCCATTTATCTTATTTATATGAGGTATCGGATATTGATGCTTCTGTAGATTCACCTGTAGGAAGTCCAGCATCATGGAATTTATACCCGCTGAACCAAATAATGGAGGCAGATGTTTCTCGAATGAGAAAAAAATGGGGAACTGCTCTAATGCCTATGATTGTTGCTAACACATCCCAACAGTCACACATGGATGCCACAAAAGGGTTTAAACGAATATTGAAATTTGGGAGGAAAAGTAGGGGTATGGACAATCTAGTCACTGATTGGGTGTCTGCTTCAACAGCTTCCGAAGGTGATGATGACACAGAAGATGGTTGTGATTTAGCAGCCCGGCCTATGGATGACCTGAGGAAGTCGAGAATGGGCTACTCACTTCCTTATGATGTGTTCAATGGTGGATAAATCTTTCCTGAAAAAGGTATCTCTCTATTCCTATTTGATAGTTTATACTCATTTTTGATAAATGGAATTTTGGTGTACAACAAGTATATACACTAAAATTGCAGTTCCTTTGATTATAGTATTTTTAGTATTTTACTGCAGTCTAACATATTCTAAATCAGGAATTTCTGTCTTGCTTGTGCCACTCGGTGTCTTGTGGCAAATTCTGTTCCATGTCAGACAGCAAGTACTGGCCCAACATGAAAATATAACTTGCTGTTGATATATACCCCTTACATGTTTTGCTGGTCGAATATCTGGATTCCTCTTATTGGTCTATTACTTAATTTCAAATGGGGTCATGGTTGATTACTAATGTTTCACCCCTTTATTTCATGGAACTTCTTAAAGTATTTACCCATGAATGTGATCCTCTCCTTTGGTGTGTAGCAGAGATTGCCATAGGGGTGGACAGGTGCTGCAGAGGGAGTAGCTTATTTCATATCTCTCCTATTTCTCTTTCTCCCTTTTCTTTTTATTCTTTTGATTGGTACACCAACATCTTTACAATAGTGTATTATGCCATATCTCTGGCACATATGGTACCAGTGGCCAGTTGGCATGGATGTTTCCTGTGAAAGGGGTATTCTTCTGAACAACCTCCTCTAATAATCATTGTTAGATATATTGCCTTTTAACTTCTGCTTATTTGGCCATGCTTGAGTTCCATAAGGTAGACAGCTTGTCTAGACAATCTCTCCTCTTGTTTCATGTTTCTCACAAGTTATTGGTTGCCTATGCGATGCCTTTTTCTTTTATAGTCACTGAACTTCGGAAGCCTTCAAATACGAAATTCCCAGCCCAGATTTCAACTAAATGAAATCACAAATTTTCAGTTTAATGCATAGTTTCTCATTTTTATTTTCCATATTTGAGAGCCATAGATTTTAGGATGAGAAGATAAGGCTCAAACGTGGGAGATACCTGGTGGGTATCTGACTAAACCTGAGGAATGGCAGCTTGTTTAAGCAGCAAATGGATAGCAGTCATGTAACATCTTGAGCTGTTATGATGATGTAAACATCAAAAAGATTTATGTTCTCGACCTTCAAATGAACATATACTCCATCTAGGGAAGTGTACGCTAATACAAACTATCTAGTTTTATGCTTGAAGTACTGCTAATTGCTTGCTCAGATGATTGATGGCAATCAAAAACCATCTTCTCTTGCCTTTATTTTGTGCAATAACTATTTTGGTGACATCTTAATCTATTCCTTTTCTTCTTACTAGTGATGGCATATACTTGTGGTCTCCATTCTACCTTTTAATACTGTTCATGTCTCAAAAAAAAGCTACGTAGATTCTGAATCCAGAATCTTTCTGTTATGCTAAATATTGTAGCTGAACATGGTTTGTTCAGTGCAGTTCAATCATTTTGCCACTTCATTCCAAACCGTTCTGTAGACTTCAAATTGAGAGAGGATCATCAAACTGGAAGCTCCCTGAAAGGTAACAAGGGTCCTGTTTAGAGCCTCGACTGAACATGATTTAAGTTTTGAAAATGTACACATGCGGACACATCTGACATCTTTGACTATGCTGAATGATAAAATCATTATTTTCAGTGTTTACTGAAATTTTTCCTGGAATATCGAATTGACTTCTGTGACATTGCCTAAATATTTGCAGCACCACACTCTTTCTTCTCTCTATCTTCATTGCGGAGCAAGGAACTCAAGCCTCGGTGATACTGGGTAACCTAGTAGCTTATGGCTTCAGTACATCTTGCAATTTTTCTATAAACGCAATGTGGTTTCTTTGTTGTGTTATATGTTATCCTTCCCTTCCCACTTTGTTCTTCAGTCGTGATGTTTTGTTGTAGAATTGGATGTCTAGAATCTGCTAGGATAACTTGCCAATTGGCACGGCGATGTTGTTTGGCCTGAGGTGTCATCCTTTTTCCACTTGTAGCATGCCATG